ATTTGGTCAAAGCAAGTTACCGCTCGGGGAACAGACAGGCCACCGCATCATCCTACGCCAACACCGCAGGGCCATTTGGCCATTGCTTACGTAACGAATCAGCGCACACTCCAAGCATTTATCGATTTTTTTCTGCACGTTTACATTTTACGGCAGACTCCTGTGCACAAATTACCCGTATCTGCTGCTGTTCTGTGATTATTTCTCTGACGATGAATCCGCGACGGATGTCGAAACGTCAGGTGAATAAACATATTGTCCCAGCGATCGAGTCGTCCTCTTCTCAATTACTTTCTGGGACTCGCAGGTTCGCTTGTATTGGCAATTTATTCGACCATCGTATGTCGTGGGTGTGGAGGGAGAAATGTCGAGGAGATAAGATAGACCCCAAACGAATTTTGCAGTTGTTGGGAATGAGCGTGGATTTCCGTATGCCGCACTGAATGAATTGGTTCGGCAAGTAAAATAGTTCCTTAGCCAAGAGACAGCCCAGCCGGGACAGTCGCATGCAGGCGTTAAATTAAGGAGGATATGCGTAGGATAGTATTAAATACTGAGTAATAGTCAAGAGATGCAAATACTTGCGCGAGGCAACCCAGAAAGGACCACGAGAGCAACAGCGTCTAAGGCACTAAACTTGGCCTTATACATAAATTTAAAAGGGTGGAAAAATCAGAGAAGAACGGCGTGATTATGCCCAAGGCATTTGGCTCTGCATGCTTCAGTAGTTTGGAAGAACAAGCAATTGGATGAAATGATTTGAGGGAATAGGAGTAATTGTTACTGAATGCCAATCACCCAGAACCTTGGACCCCAGGAAGAATAAGTTTCTAAGATGTGTCGAAGCAGAAGCTAATTGAAAACCCCAAGATTTTAGGAGAAATGGTGAAACACTATCTGGGTTGGCAACTGCTGAACCTCGAAACTTTCTAAAATATTCCTTGCATCATCCCCGCTCCGCAAAAGGCGAACATCAGCTCAGAATGGAGCAATGGGTCGAGCGGAGAGAGCTTAGCAGGGCCGACAGGCGGCAGCCGCGAACAAAGAGGGTGGAAACGCTCACGAGTCACAAAAACGACTTGACACAGCTCAAGAAGAGGCAAACAATTCAAACAGCCACGAAAATCAATCGGTGCAATCGATTGACACATAGGCGACTGGTCGCTCACATCTATCTGACGCACACAGGAAAACAGCCACCTTGCTCTGACGATGGAAGCGAGCGAGCTTTTGAAACGTCAGCCAGAATACACTTTGGTCTTAGAAGTCGTCTCCTCTTCTTCTTCCTCCTCCGGGGATGGTTTAAGGAATATTTTATCTGGACCTCGAATTTTCTCGCATATTAACTTTCTAAAGTGTTTCAGCACTGTTGCGACAGACAACAGATAAAAGACACTCGCTAATAAGAAATGTCGCTTGACGGAAGATAGGAGTCAGTGGGATTATAGAGAAAATATACATTGAGCATCGACATGTGCCAGTGCAATGCATTAGTTAGACAGACGCTTAGGAATTCAACTTTCAGCCATAGATATAGGAAAAAAAGATGAAGGCAGAGAAGAAGTAAAAAGCTACCTAACGAAGATTTTGTTTAGTCTGGAGGCCTTACGTCTTCTAAGGACATTAACGTTCTTTCGTTTATCACGTAGACCTACTTTGTAAAGCAGTTCCTCCTGGCATCTTAAATATTATAGAAAGGTAGAAAAGCTTCTGTCAGATCTAAGCATATCGTCATCGTCAAGAGGGGAGCGGATATTAAAAACACCATTTAACAAAGTTATAGGATAACAAGAACACGACTTGACGTTCGCGTCTTCAGGAAAGCCGAGATAAGCAATTTTAAGGCAGGTCCATATATTACAACTTTAACGAGATTAGTGCCAACAGGTTTGACTACAATGGGACAACGTATGTGGCATCTAACTTAAGTTATTAAGCCTTAACGGATCAATAGAGCCAGAGAAGTGGTTGGGGACCAAACGCGGTTGTCGATCCTCCGACAGAGGCTGCAATTTGACGTAAAACATCAGCATGTCCGTAGATACACAAAAACATTCCCATATTAAGGGTGAGTACCCTATCAAACATTTCTGCTGGTCTATTTATTGTCCCTTTACAACGTCCGTTCATCACTAAAGACTTTTGAAAGACAACCGATCGAACGTTTGAGGTCGGTTGCAGTGGATCAAGAATTAAATCTGCAAAGACACCTGACAAATTAATAAGGTAGTTTTTGTAAATTACTAATAATTTTCCACAGAAAATTCCTTTGATGTATAACACCAATGTTCCTGTGCTATAATAAAACATGTGAAAGGACATCTAAGGAGTCCCTTTTGGAAAGATTTATAATTATGTAGCAGTCAATTATTTTCCACCAGGGGCTTCATGATGTATTCGTTGGCCTAACAGACGCATGTACAAAAAAGACCAAAAGAATACTTCTCCATGAAACCAATTATCCAAACATCATCACAAAATAATGAGCAAAGAAAAACACGCAAAGAAAACAAATACGGAATTCTTCAAAACAGAGCGAGATAAGTGGCAGGCTTTG